AAGAAAGAAAGAAAGAAAGAAAGAAAGAAAGAAAGAAAGAAAGAAAGAAAGAAAGAAAAGAAGAAGAAAAGGAGGAAAGGAAAAAAGGAACGCAAAGCAAAGGAAAGGAAAGCCAGACTGCATTACTTTTTAAATTTCCTCCTCCCACGCTCCGCTTTCTCACGGCAGGTGAGTAAACGGATATGTGGGCACGGCATTCTTCTGCAAAGTTGGTTTGTAGTTTCAGCTTTTTCTTTCTTCCAAGTTAGCAAAAGGAGGAGTGGGCGAGGGGAAGGAGTATTCAATATGTTCTTCACTTTGAGTTAAAGGCTGGATGGTAAATAAAATAAAAACTTGAAGTCCTCTCTTGTTCCGCAGGATGGAACACCTCCTTGATTAAATAGAGAAAGGGAGATACTGGCTGAATGTTAGGCAGTTGATTCAGACAAAAACATGGGTGGTATATAAATGTAATAATAAACTAAATAAGACAGTGGAAGCCCTTCCCTGGAGAGTTATTAATGTCTTTTGAGGATGGAGCACGTGGATTGAAAGCTGAACCCCCCCCCCCCCCAATGTAAGATAGTTTTACCTTGAATTGCTGGTCATGGATTCCTCCGCTCGTTTTCCTCCTAGGAGTACATGGATCCCATGAACGAGTACAACGCCTTGAACGAAGCCAAGCAGATGATCGCCGTGGCAGACGAGAACCAAAATCACCACCTGGAGCTGGAGGAGATCTTGAAATACAGCGAGTATTTCACCGGCAGCAAGTTGATGGACTACGCGCGGAACGTCCACGAGGAATTCTGAAGGCACGGAGCCCTCGGGTCCCCATCGCGCCGCCTCGTTTCCCCCCAAACACAACACGCGTTTTCCTTTTGCTGCTGGGTCTGTTGTGTTCTGTGCATCTATACAGTGTGGTGTTCTGGACTTTTTTCCTTTCAAAAGCCCCGTCCGTGTACACTTAAAATAATGCCAAATGTTTTTTTTTCCTGAACTTGCCAGGATAGAATCTGGACACGTTCTTGATTTTTTGCAGTGCCGGTTGAACAGCATTCACTACGTTCTCCGAAGACTCCCTGTTCCGATCCTTTGGTTTTTTTTAATTGGCGAACACCACAGGGGAAAGCTGGCAAAACCCTGGTCCTTGATCCCTGGAGAGGGAGGGAAGGAGGGAGGAAGGAGGGATATGTTAATTTTAATATCAAGTTAAATCATGGTGCGGTTGTGTAGCTCTTGTGATTGCTTGAAAAAGAATGTTTCGGAAAACATCGATTCGCTGGAAACTGCTCCAACTGTGGTGTCTATTTTGGAGGGGGTGGCCTTTGGAGGGTTACTGGGAGTCTCCAATTGGAACTGGAAAATTGGTTGTTAGGCAGCGGGGTCCTAAAGGGAGCTATTTTATGACCCTTTTGGGAGCATGGTCATTAAGCGAGTCAAACGGCCGTTGAGTTTGAATTCCTGGAAACAATGCCAGCGATGATCGCATGGCAGAAGGTCTGGGACTCATAATTGCAAGCCAGTTTGCCAAGCATCCAAAATGTGAATGGGGGAAAGTATGATGGGCGTAACTTGGAGGAGGGAGACGGGATAAGTTAGAGCCATAGTTAAATATTCATAATTGGGGCGGGGGTGCGTGTAAAAACAATCAAGACCAAATCTCAGGCAAAACCTGCCGTCTCTTGCCATCTCTCTCGGTCACTGCGGCCTCCAAGGAATAACAAAGGCCATTTATACACAAGGGTGTCAAACTGGCAGCCCACGGGCCAGATGTGTCACCTGGAAGCCTTGCCCACCCGACCTTCAGAAAGGCAAAAAATATTGTGATATGTCACGTGATGTGATCGAACACCAGTGATCCTATAGCACAAGGTATGAAAAGAGTGCCCTCAGGTGGCCATTTGGGATATTTCAGCCTGGCAGGGACTACAAAGACCATCTATACCAGGGGTGTCCAACCTTGGCAACTTTTAAGACTTGTGGACTTCAACTCCCAGAATTCCTCAGCCGGCTGGCTGAGGAATTCTGGGAGTTGAAGTCCACAAGTCTTAAAGTTGCCAAGGTTGGACACCCCTGATCTATACCAAAGGGTATGAAACAGTGCCCTCCGCTGGCACTTCAGGATATTTCACCCTGGCAGGCAATAAATATACCATCTATAGCAAAGGGAATAAAAACAGTGCCCTCCGGTGGCCATTCAGGGTATTTTTGCATTGCAGGCAATAAAG